GATAAGTTGGTAGATGTCAGAAAATCCTGGCCCATATGTTGTACAGTGAGCCAAAATTATCTAGCAAATCCAATGGAATCTTCTTTGGGATTAGGGACATCTTTTGTAATGGCACAGAACTCAGCTTTAGGCCATGGGATATAAGAAATAAGAGGTTGTTGTCATGGGCCAGCCTCATCTGATGGATTAACTTTAATTAGGGCAGTAAGAACAAGGGGTTCTAATGGTGCCTCAGGTTCATCATTATAAAAAGGGAGTTAAATAAGTAAAGGGTAAAGAGTGGGAGGACAGATAGGAAGTATAGGAACTGAAGGTGCAGCTAAAGAGACATCAGAACATTTAGAAGTCTCCTCGAGTTTAGTAGGTCTCTGAAACAACTTAGAATTTGCTCTGGTTAACTCAGAACTTGTGTTTTGGAAGGAAGCAATTTGTGAATTGCTTATATATTTGAAGGCCTCAAAATGCCAATTAAAATATGTTTCTCATTTAGGTTGCTTGGTTTTGTAGCTTTTTCCAATTGACTGTGCAGATAGACTAACTTGAGAATTTCAAAAGAGCCCAAGTTGACCAGTTTAATTGTAAATCTTCTTAGGTAATCATGGTCCAGTGAGATAGAAATTTGCTGGATGAGGGCCTGTAATTTTTGTATGTAAATCTAGCAGCAGTTCCAGGGGGTGGCTGTTCAGCAGCCATTCCTTCAAAAGTAAACTTCGAATTTTCAAAAGAGTGATTACTCACCAGATGGGCATTTTAAATCTTATAGACAAAAAGCTGGCAGTAGAGAAAACCCAAACAGAGCCTAAACATCAACCAAGTTGGGAGCTTAGCATCTGAGAGGACTTACTACAATAATCTATAGAGTGCAATGGACTCTTGTAGGTACCTCACTCGAATCCATGAAGGTACTGGAGGAGGCGGCAAGTCACTCTGGATCCCACTTCTGACACCAAGTAATGTCAATTCATTTTTACCAAGAACTACAAGGCAAATAGAAGCTTCAAAGGAACTGTTGATACACGTGACACCAGATGAATCTCCAGAGCAATATGCTTTGTGAAAAAAGCTAATCCCCAAAGGTTACATACTGTATGATTCCACTTTTATAATATTCTTTAAATGACAAAATTATAGAAACAGAGAACAGATTAGTGATTGACAGAAGTTAATAAGGGGATTAGAGTAGGTGGGGGAGTGAATGTGATTATAAAAGACCAGCATGAGGAAGGGATCCCTGTGGTGATGGAAATATTCTGCATCTTGACTGTATCAATGTCCATATCCCAGTTGTGATATTGTATTACAGTTTTGGAAAATATTACCATGAGGAGAAACTGTGTAAAAGGTATAATGAATATCTTTGTATTATTTCCTAAGACATCATTTGAATCTATAATTATCTAAATATAATAAAATTAATTTTAAATACACTCCCTGTGTCTGAGTTTCAGCCCATACCAGGTAAATTATAATATCTATAGGTGGGAACCAAGCATTAGTAGTTTTTAAAGATGCCCAAGTGGTTCCAATGGGCAGCAAGTTTGGGAACCACTGAATTAGACATCTCAGAAGCCTCCAAAGAGATATTTAAGAAGAAGAAAGAAAAAAATTTTTCTTAAATCTCTGTCTATAAAAGACATCTTTGCACAAGGGAACTACACAAAAACATCCTATTACATTTTGGCCACAGGCCCAGTCAATGTGAAGGAGAGATCTTGGCCATTTCTTATTCATTTGGCAGGCTCCTAACCTTGAAGCTTCATTAATTGAACCTAAGCCTAAAAGCCAACATTCTTAACCACTTTATTAATTGGAATGATTTATCAAAAAAAATTTTTTAAAAGTCATTTCATAAATAAAACAATTCCTTCCTCTCTTTCTTCATTTCAATAATCTTTATTAAATCTAGCCTGAAAAGATGAGTTATACAAGTGCTGCTAGGTTTTCCCAAGCCTGCTCAAGTTATTAAAGGTGTGTTTTTCTGTTTTTAAAATCAACACTCCACTACACCTGACTTGAATTTCAGCTCCTTTAATATCCACTGCCCTTCTTTCCAAGAAATTTGTTAGAGATACTACTTAAACTTGCTATAACAATTAGCTTCAAACTGAACTGTAAGAAAGAAGGAGAGAAAAGGGACTGAATCTTCCCTCTCCTTAAATTTGGATGCAGTTTCACCTTTACAGTGAATCCCACGGCACTGTTGAGAGGATTTTTAAAATGTTCCTCAATTGCATGTTTTCAAGTATTACCATGACCAATTTTTCAGCCTACATCTTCTCTTGGAACTTCTTCTTTTAAATTAAAACCATTGTTTAAAATGTGTTATCACAGCAACATTAACGTAATGAGAAAAGGCAGTCTTATCAGACAAGATAACCTGCTTTTCCTCAAAGATGCTATTTTTATTGCATTAAGGGTAGTTTGCTCAAAGAAATCTGAGGAAATCACAGGGATTGACCCTGTATATCAAGTCCTCTTTCTCACCAAGCCAATTTTCTGTTTGATTTTTACACTCCGAGTATCACAAGTAGGGTCAGTAGTGGTTCCATGGAGAATAATAGAATAGGAAAGATTCAGCTATCTTTAATATTTGTTTTGTTTCTTATTTCCAAGAAATCTATTTGGATAAGATGAAGTTAGACAAGTATACTAGTGAAGGTATGTAAATCCATTTTACCATAGGAAAAAAAACATAATTCCTTTACTGTTAAGCAAAATAGAAGAGTGATGAGTCATTTCATTCAAAACAGAGGTTCTTCTGGATTTAAGTGTACACAGACACGTAGCTTGAAACTCAGTTAAGGACAACCAAAGAAAAACAAGCTGAGCACAAAGATTACCTCTCACCCCATGATGTAAAATTTCCATGCAGCAACATCTGGAGGTTGCACAGTCCAGATAATTTAAATAGGAGACTTGGAGGCAAGAAACTTTACTTAGCCCTGGCTCTCTGTGAACACAGTTTGTTGCTGAAGCAATTCACTCTGCTTCTAATTCACAACTCTCCAGCCTCAATCAAGTATCCCCATGTGGTTCTCACAAGGCATGAAGCCCTTTTCCCACCAAGAGCCTTTGCTCAGGCAGTCCTTGCTCTGCAATGTGGTCCCCCTGACTCCTTGCCTGCTGGCTCCCTCTCAGACTTCAGGTTTCCATTAAAATAATACCCCTTCCCGTCTTTCTCACTCCAGAGTTAATGTCTGCCTCGGCATCATGTTTATTTCTGAATCCTATTCCAGGGCTTGACATCTAACAGATACCTATTTGTGAAATTAATAAATGCTTCATCCAAAAAAAGATAGATATCACATCATTCCTTAGTGAATTTTAGTGACTAATAAAAATTGACTATGTTTTTTAGTTAAACACACACTCCCATACGATAATCAAACACAAAGAATGTAAAGATTAGCTGAAGCCATTTAGGATCAGAGGCTATTGCCAGTTACTCAGGTAGAATTTTAAGCAGGTGCCACACTGAGCATCCTGTGACCCAGACCTGACTACTCTGTTTCACAGCTGTTCCTGTCTCTGAAAATTTATATGCATCTGTTATCTGCCCCATTCATCCATTCAATGGGCACCTCTAATGCTTTATGTATCTTATCAACCTCTTAAAGGAAATTTTAAGCTCTTGAAGAGCAAGAACCATTCTTGTAATAATAATAGCAAATTCCACCAAGTATTTCCTATGTGCCAGTCATATGTTATGTGCTTTCCTGTATATAATATACCCAATGGAGCCATGATTCAAACCCAGGTGGAATGACCTCAGAATCTGGCACACTCTTTTTTATAAACCTGGATCTTACTCTTCTCAGCTGTTTGCATGGCCTTTGGCAAGTTGCCTCAGTTGCTTCCTCTGTAAAATGGGGATGACATAGTATCTACATCAGAGGGTTGTTGTGAAGATTAAAGAAACTTGACACCTGTAAATTGCTTAGAAGGTGGCTGGCACACAATGGGTACTCATTAAATGTTAGTTGTTGTTACTGTTTATGGGAAAGTCTCCAAACCTGGGAAACCCCTCAGTCCCAGTTTTAGCATGGAAAGTCCCATGTGTTTGGCAAAAGTTCAAAATAGGGCAAGCCTAGGACAGGAGGTTGGCTGTTGTCCTGTGGTCACTCTTCACCGCTCTGCCTCTTTCAGAGCCCATCTCAAAATTCCCCCTTATGTCCTGTAATTGACGCTTTCCCACAATGTCTCAGGAAACTTCCTTATCAACAGGTTGTAGTACAGAATTAACTTTTTCATATAAACAGCCTTCTACATAGACCATTGCCCTGTTTCCCCATTTACTGCTAAGTTTTTTAACCATCTCCATTTTCTAAGAGCAAACTATTTCGAGGTGCGAGAATAAGTGACAAGACTAAAACACATTGCCTACTTTGAATGAAACTAGAGCATCTAGTGCCCCCTGCTGCCTTTTCAGAGGAAGGGCAATCGAATGAGAATACCTTGATTCACTGACAGTGAATTTTTGCTTATCGAGGTCTTAAATAGAAATCGGTACAAATATTCTAAATTTGAAATTAGATTACGATTTGTCTTTTCTTAAATTCACCCCTTTGAATTTCAGTCGTTTGCTTTGCCTTTGCAAAAACTGACCTTTGCTTGATTATACTTTTCTCATTTATATTTGCTTCCCTAAAATTTGCTTTGGGCTGTCTTATTTGGAGATTTGAACAGGTTTTGTCTTATTTATGGCTCTTTTTCACTTCTGTAAAGCCCTGAGACCGGCGCTCGTGGGCGAGAGGCGGCGGCATCAACGGACGGAGAGGGACATACCCGCCTCTCCGCAGACTGGAGCAAGCAGTTACTTCGCGGGATCTCGGGGACCGTCGGCGGCGACCCGGCTCCGGGGCATTCCGAAAGGACGGAATCCCCCGAATTTAGAAAGCACGCCGTTGAGGCCAATGGGAGGACGGCGCACGGCTGAGAGTCAGGCGGACTCAGCCAATGAGCATGAGCTTTGGACGAGGGGGATCCGCCCCAACTTGGGTCTTACAAATTCGCCCTCCCCTGCTCCTGCGGAACCGAAATGGTGTGGGATGAGGCAGGTTAGGGAATAGCGGAGCTCGGCGGCGTCCACCGCGGTGAGCACAGCGGCCGGGTCTGCCCAGTATGTCAGAAGCAGGTGAGGGCAAGCAGTCCACGGAGACGACGGGCGTCCCTGAGGGCGTACACGAGGCCGCCCTCGAAGGCGACTCGCTGACCTGGACTGGAGGGGTCGGGGGAGGAGGCCTGGACCGAGAGCCGGAAGGTCGCCGAGGCAGACCAGAGGACCCGCGGCAGGAACGAGGAGGTTGCCAGGTAGGTGCTGTGGAGTCGTTGAGTGAACTTTAGCGCCGTCCCGGAGCCGCCTGGCCGAGATGGCGGTGGCGGGGGGAGGAAGATGTGCGCTTGCTTGGACCTGGGTCGAGGCCAGTCGAAGACCCCAAGACCCCCAGCCTCTGCCTTCCCTCGTTCCATCCTTCATCCATCTGGGGATGGAGCCACTGCCTGACCTAAGTCTCTACCCAAGGAAGGCCAAGTTCCTTGAGAGTGACCTTTGGGTTCGGGGGAAGACAGAAAGCACTTTGATAAGAGAGGGTTGTTTTGTTTATTTAAAAAACAAAACAAAACAAAACAAAACATTTCCAGTTGTGAATAGTGCCCAGAGCCTGGTGGATAAGGTTGCCAGTCTTTTCCCCCTCCCAACCTGGTGGGTGCTGTGGGATTGTTTTGTTAGGGTCCAAGTAGGGCTGAGATTTCAGTAAGGAGGTAGTGTAGATTTGTTAACGGCTTTGAAAGGTAGTCTTTAAAGACTAGAGTGGGTGGGTGGTTTTGGACTTTTGCTGTGAATGGCAGCTTTATTTGTAATACTTCCAATGAAAGATTTGGGAGATCCAGTTCTTCCCTAACTCATGGGGTTTCTTGTAAGATATTCCAAGCTCATAGTTTCCTTATAAGACTTCTTGTTGCCATGTGTCTCGTCCTACCATTTCAGAAAATTGTTTGTTGGTGGCTTGAGCTGGAATACCAGCAAAAAGAACCCAAAACACCATTTTACCAAATTTGGAGAGGTCGTTGACCATACTATAACAATGGATCCCAACATCAGAAGATTAAGAGAGTTGGGGTTTATCCTCTTTAAAGGTACAGCCATTGTGGAGAAGGTAAGCTGTGTACTCCATCAAGGGCCCTTTGGTACAGGATTTGATTTATGGGAACAACATGATCACGATTAATTTGTCTGAGCTGCATGTGGCCAAGTGCACTGGGGGAAAGCAGAGTTTAGGGACTTGTTCCTGTAATATTTAAATGGGGAGTAAGAAGTGTATGGTTTGGGATGTTCCAGGAAGAGGAAGTGGGTATTATGTGCCTGTTTTGGGCATTGCACTAAATACTTCATGTGTGAAGATTAGAAAAGCATCCAAGATGCACTGAGATAGGTGTTATTTAAGTGTCATTTTACAGAGAAAGGAACTAAGGCTCACAGAAGATTCAGTAACTAGAAGAGATCACACAGTAAGTAGGGGATAGGACAGTGAGGATTCCAATGCCAGCAGCTTGGTCAGCCTGTGCTTAATCTCTGCTGCTTTGCTTCTAGAGGAAACAAGTTTTAGATTGGGACTGCCAGGACAGAAAGAAGGGCACACGGTATGGACAAAGGCTCTAAGGGAGTGAGGACTGATTTATGTGTGTAGGTAAACCAGCCCAATTTCAGATTTAGAGAAAATTGGGAAGTCAAACTCAGGTAGAGTATGTATTTGGAGGGGATGAAATATTTTGTGTACCTGCAATGGAGTCTTGCGGCTCAAAGAGAACAGCCTAGCTCTGGGTAATGCTGCTAGGAAATGTCAGTGAGAATTAGAGCCAGAGTCCACCTGACCCTTTTCTCAGAAGGAATTGTCACAATTTTAGCACTTTAAAGTCCCATACCCGGAAAACCTCACAGTCCCATGTTTAGTTCTGTAAGTCCCTTGACCTGGGAAATCCCTTCGTTCTGGTTTTAGCACTGAAAGTCCTGCTTCCCAGGAAAACCTTCACTTCTGGTTTTACACTGAAACTCCCCAGACCCATTGGTCCTGAGCAAACTTGTATGATTAGTCAGCCTACTCTTCTGTTGGAACAGGTCCTAGACCAGAAGGAGCACAGGTTGGATGGCCATAGCGTGAACCCCAAAAAGGCCATAGCTATGAAGAATGATCCTGTAAAAAAAATCTTTGTAGGGGGTCTGATCCCTGAAGCCACTGAGGAGAAAGATAAGGGAGTACTTTGGCAAGTTTGGGGAGGTGAGTGTCTCCCCAGGGTGTAGCTTATGCACCCCACGAGCCACCTGTGGCTGCTTTTTTCCTTCCTTCCTTGTTTCTGGCTGCAGTTCTTCTCAGCTGGGCATCTTTTCCTCCTCTTTGGCTCTGGGTGCCTCCCTTCTTGTGAATTCCCTTTAGGTCCGAGTAAGGGAAGCACCAGTCATGAGCTTTGCCTGTTTTTCCAGATTGAGGCCATTGAGTTTTCATTGGATTCAGAATCTAACAAAAGACAAGGTTCTGTTTTCATCACGTATACAGAAGAGGAACCTGTGAGAAATATCCTGGAGAAGTTCCACACCATCACTGGTAGCAAGGTAAGGGGTCTCTAGCTCCATGTGTCTATCTTCCTGGGTTAGTGGGGAACCTAGTATGGTAACCAGTGATCACAATATTAGCATTGAAAGTATCCAGGAAAATCCTTTCCTGAAATATGAAAAGTTCTGGTTTTTGGCAATGAGTATGGAAGTTTGGAAGAAAAGTACAAAGCCCATATAGTGGTCTAAAAAAGAGGGCCCAAAAGCCACGCTGTCTTTAGTTTCAGATGAATGTGGCATAGATTATGCATCTTCTGTAGTTTCTGTTGCTTACTTTCCCCTTCACCATTGATGTTGGCAACCATAATTTGTGGTTGACAGTAATGGTTTGTCTGTTTATTGTTGTGTCACTCAGAGTGATGTGACTTAAGTGTATTGTAATTATATTAACAGATCATCTTTGATATTGCCTGTGAATTAACTGTTGTGCTTTATATCAGAATAGTGTTAGCTTAATTTTTTAACATCGTTAATATTTTGACCATGTTTTTTAAGAGGTCAGATAATGAAAACGAGAACGATTGTAATACCAATGCAAGCATGATCCCATCACCGAAAAAGAAGGCTAAACGACTGTGTTGTTTTAATGACAAATGGAAGGACACATACGACTGGATTAGGGAGGTAAATAATCAAAACAGAGCATTCTGCACAATATGCAGAAAAGAATTTGGTATTGGGTGTGGTAGAGAAGGGGATGTGAAAGCACATATGGAGACTGTATCTCACAAGTCCAGGATGAGACAGGCAAGTGTCTCTAAACCAATCAAAAGTGTTTTCATGTCCCAAAAAGACACCAGTGTTCAGCCAAAAATAGCAGCTGCTGAATTAGCTTGGGCATACCACACAAACAAACATGTGTTATCATATCATTTTCTTGATTGTTATATGAAACTGAGGTAAGTTACATTTCCTGATTCAGAGGTTGCAACTAAAATATCCTGTGGGTGAACGAAAGGAGAAATTTTGGTAACAGATGTGTTGGCCCCTTACAACATAGAGCTGATTTTGTCATTTCTCATGTTTCTCATATTTTCTACAGTATATCAACAATCATGTTTTCTACAGTATATCAACTTCAAGTAGTGAGCTGAATCATGGCAACAAAAAATGTTTCCTCTAGCTCTTAGGTACTTTGACTTGAAAAATGGAATTTTGAATCATCTTCTTGATTTCTATGAGGATTTTAATGAAACTGCTGAAATCGTAAAACAAAAGATTGTTGATATTTTGTCCAAATACAAGCTAGACTTAGCTCACCTATCTGCATTTTCGTCAGGCAGTGCAAATGTAAATTTTGGAAAATTTCATTCAGTCTATGAACTTTTTAACAAAGAAAATGAAAGGATCTTACCTATTCAATGTCCTGCAGATCTTGTATACAACACTGCTAAAAAGGGTTGTGATTTTCTTAAATGTGATGTTGAGACTTTCATAATAAAAGTTTTTGGTCACTTTTCAGTTTCCTCAAAATGTGCAGAAGCACTTAATGAGATTTTCGACTTTATAGAAACACAAGGAGATAACCTCTTTAGACATGTGCCTACAAGATGGATGTCATTGCTCCCAGCCATAGAAAATATGCTAAAATGTTGGCCTGCTATAAAATCTTATTTTCAAAGTGTAGGACAAGAAGAATGTCCTTCTTTGATTTGGAAATATATTGAAGATGAGAATGGAGAAAAGGATTACAGTGAAATAGAAGTATATATGCTGTTTCTCCAAAACTGTTTGATGATCTTTGAAGAAGCCATAAAGAGCCTAGAAAAGGATGAACTGACTGCACCTGAGCTGTTTGATACTATGTATAGTTTGAGACAGAAACTCATACTGCAGAAAAATGGTTCAGTTTTTGAAAATAAGCCTGCTTCAGAGCTAAAAAAAAAAAAAAAAGTCACCAGAAAAGGGCAGCCAAGTTACACAGGACTTTCTTAATTTCTTTACTAGAATCGTAACTTATTTGGAATGCTACTTTGGTTTCACCAGTTCAAATTACCTCTGTGCTTTAAAACCATTTTCCCTGAGAAGGAAATGTTTAACTTACAATGACATCCGGTGTGCTTCAGAGTGTTTAAAAATGATTGATGTTTTAGATATGGATAGCCTATACGATGAATTTATAGATGCAAAGGACCTGATTGACAAACAGCTGGTCTATCAGAACAAGCCTGTGGATTCAAAGTGGGTTGACATTTTTGGAGAAATGAAAACTAATTCCTACGAATCTAAAAACTTACTAGTAAGTAAAATCCTAAGCATTCCATGCTCAAACACTTTTATTGAGAAGATATTTAACTTAATGTCATCACATTGGACCGATACTAGGTATCAGTGTAATGTGAGCTTGAGAAGAGCAGAGCTGCAAATCAGAGTGAATTTTACATTTGACTGTGTTCAGTTTTACCACTACATAAAATAAAAGAATGATGTCCTAAAGGCTGCAAACATCTCAGAAAAGTATTATTGGAAAAGGAGACAGCAAGAATAAAAATATTCTACTATATCATGGGACAGAAAGAAATGTGTCATTAATTTTTATTAAATACAGGAAATATCTAGTCCTATTTTCATATTCTTCTTTTAAAGTCTTACATTATGTATCTTTATTTACATATTTGTATTCACAATATCCATAGCATATTAGTGCAGCAGTATATGTCTAATTTAGAATAAACATTATATATGTATAGGGATGCTTGTTCAAAATTTCTTTTACTGATGAGCAGAAGCCTAAATGATAAGTCACCATATGGGATCTGGACGACAACAAGAATCGAGGACCCAAAGAAGGCTTTTTTGTTTGCCTGTTTAAAACTCAATAAATCTCCTGTGGCTTTGGTTTTTATGAATCAATCTCCCAAAGCCAGGGTGCCCCTGGAAGAACTGATAATAACTGAATTTCTGAACATTTGATGATGAGGACCAGGCCCAGGAACCACAGGGCACTCAATGAGTTGTAAACATCCTGTGAGTTCTTGCCTAAGTAGCCAGTCTTATCAGTCAGTCAGGCTCTCAATCTTGCTTTCCCTTTGTCTAATTCCACCTATAACAACTTATGAAAACCTGCATTACTATAGACTGGGAATTCTCCAAATCCAGAAGTACCTAAGAGTGAAAATCACAAGATCTGAGAACTTGAATAGGAAAAAGAAATTTCTGTTTACACTAACCTTTCAAATATAGCATTTATTTTCATTAGGAAAATAGGTAGCAAACCACAGCAGTATTAGTACCTGTGACTCCGTCATCACTAGAAATCATAGATATTCACATGTGACAGATACCTCTAATTATTGTTTATGTGCACCACTACCTAGAAATTAAGTAATTATTAAACCCACTCCTAGATCTTGTAATTTAATAAAGAGTATCTAACTATATCACAGATTTAAATGTTTAATATTTTGATAACTATTTTAATAAAATTGGCTTTCTTGGCAATCCTGTGTATTTCACCTGTGCATTTCTCCAGACTGTCAAAGGGGTTGATGAGACATTGGAATCTCTGCCGTGGATCATGAATAGAAAGTTTTACAAATAGGTAGAGGTGGGTAGGCTTTGCTGCACCCTCATATCATGCTCTAACCTTATCATTAGCTGAAGTAGGTGACAGCTAGTGGCATATGAGTTGAGAGGACAGTGGTTCCTTTGCTTAAAAACCTTACTGTTCCCTCATGTCCAAGAGTATGGAATTTCTACAATATACAAAGGAGTTCTAGGTAGGTGAAAATGCCTTATCAGGAATATCAAGAGGCCTTTTCTAGCTTCTAATACCTCAGTGACAAGGGTGGAACGGATCTCAGCATCCAATTTGAGCAGCATCTTATAAATCCTGGCACTATGGTCCAGGGGAATTTATTTACCGGGGTTCACATCAGTTAAAGATACTGATGTGTTTCCAGTTTTATACTGAATAGGCAAAGTGTCCTGGAAGTCTGAAGAGAGGGAGCGGGGAGAGACTAGGGAAAGGATGGGAATAGAAGGGGTTGGAAGGGAGTGCTGGGAAAACTCAGAGCTAGACTTCAGGATACCATTTCCTCCAATCCACATTCCAGTGTCTGCCATCAGCTCTCCTGTGAATCTGCAGGAATCTTGTGTCCTTAGGACCAGCATAGACTTCTCATAAGTAAGGCACAACGCTTCTCAGGAGCACTTTTAAGCATGTGGAATAGATTCAGCAAACAAATTTCATACAATTTAATATACTCGGGCTGTGTGTGTGTGCGTGCGTGTGTAAAGAAACTAATTATTCCCAGCCCCATAGCACCCCTGGAGCTGCTTGATTACTCCTAGATGATAACCTTTATATATCTGAAGGGTTATTATATAAGGAGGCGGCCCAGAAGGCTATACTGGCATGAGATAAGAAGTCGTTACTGGGAGGCATAATTCCACGTCAAGTTAAGGTTCTTTCTGAGAACTGATTATCCTGGGACTAGACAGATTTAAAGTACCTTGCAATTCTGGCATTCTATACCTTTCCCCTTCAGATAATTAAGCCCCACTAATCCTGGGCTTGGAATATAAAACCAGGATCCTGAGGATTTCCCCTTCACATCTAGATGATCCGGTAGATAGTGTGGTGTAATGAAGGGTACTCGGGCTTTGAAAACAGACAAACTTGGGCTCTAACCTTGCACCCCACAGAGACTTTATTTCCCTGCACTGAAAACGGGAACAGTCTGCTGGAGAGCATGCAAAAGACCTGGATTGCTGTAGATACAAATGTCCCTTGAATGATGGAGAGCGCTCCGCTGTTGAAAATCGTCCGCCCTCTAGGATTCCTGCTATACCCAGACCCGCTCCCTGCAAATTTTTGTTAGTTACTCTCAGTCAAGCAGGAGGCAGCAGACCCCAGCCCTCAGCTCAGGGCCAACACCGAAAGTGGGGCAGAAGGAACAAGCCGTCAGATCCCGCGGCCGCCGGGGATCGTGCCGCTTCCGGGATCCAGGAGGCCTGCGAACTGGACACCTCCCTCCGCGGGGCGGGCCGGGACTGCGCAACACTGAACCGAGGACGGAGGGATGTGGCGCATGCGCACAGCAGGGAAGGCGCCGCCCGGAACCTGCGAGCTCTGCGGACTGACTGCCAGAAGGTGCTCAATAGGGAATCGCTTCCGGTCTTCAGAAAAGAAGTTTTCCCGCAGCTGGCTGCCTACTTTTTTCTTTTCAATCGTGAGAAGGGCTCTGAGGTGCAGGTGAGTTTTATGTCTCCCAATCGAGAAACTCCTGCCCTGAATTTTCTTACAAAGCCTCACAAATAAGCCGACAACCGTACAGAGGACCTCGGAAGGTTTTTGCAAAAGATGGAGTCCACTGTACGAGGGATCGCTTCTCTAGTCCTCCCGGGAATTCCCCAAATTTCTTCTCTCACGGTTCTGAATCTCCCACCAGTCCTCCCTCCTACCTTCTTGGAGCTAGGGAGAGGTGAAGAGAAGGGTGGGGCTCTTGGGTCATAGCAAAAATGCTTGGCAAGGTCTTAACCTTCATAGCACCACCCAGACTGCACTCGAACATGTGTCTTTGGAGCCGCAGGGAGTTCAGGCACAGATAATTGTTGATACTCGACAGGTGAAAATGCTTTTCATATAGTAGCTTTCGGAAAATCTCATAATGGGTTCCCCAAATTTTGGAGGATTAGGGTCAAGGCAGGGCCATGTCACCTGGTTTTGTACACGGTGCGATAAGTCATTCTGCTGCATTGCACCTAAGATGCTTTCTGTCTAAGCGCTAGGCATCTCTTTTGCACTGGGAGCAGTTGATGCGTCCCACATTGTCTCTCACCGTTCCCTACCCCCGTCTCATGTTAACACAGCCTCTGGCTTTTCTTGTGTGCTTCTGGGTAGGTCCAATGGAAAAGGAGTAAGAGGGGTGATTGCTTTTTGTTGACTTTTCCTTCTGAGTACAGAAATTTCTTGCAAGGACTGGGAATAGATTGATTTTTGCCTCCTTAAAACAACAGTTCGCTAAGGAGATTAAGGGACTGGCTGTGTCCAGGCATTAGAGCTATATTGGGGGTAGGTCAATTACAGAGTGTCTTCAGAAAGAAATTGTTCCTTAGGTTCACTCATTCATTCAGCAAGTATTTATTAAGCACCTGCCTTATGCATGGCAATGAGCTTGGCACTGTGAGAGGGAAAAAAGATGAATTGAACGTGAATTTTGCCTTCAAGGAGCTTGATTGGCTGAGAGGAGAGATAAGCCCAACATAACTAACTCTTTGCCAGGTAGAAGGGAATAGGACTCCAAGAGAGCATCAGAGGAAGAGCTGGGGGGCTTGGAAGAGGGAGAAGAAACAGCCTTTCAAACCAGGTGGTTGGCTTAAGAAGAAAATTAGGTCCTCAATTTACTATCTCATGATGAGTGATCTCTCTTGTAAGCTTCAGATCTGTATATATGGGTGTTTTCCGACCATGTGTCAGGCATTTCAGACTAAATATGTATTAAACAGGTCTCATCATTCCTGGCCACCTCCTTTCTCCCGCCACACACCTACTTCTTTTTAGTGTTCCCTCTTTTAGGGAATAGCATCAAGGCTCCCCTGCTCCCTCCTCCTCTCCTAGTGGTCCAAACCAGAGACCTAGGCATGAGTCGTCTCTGATTTATCCCTTCCCCTCACTCCCCACATCCAGTCTTATCAATTCTACTTCCTGAACTTCTCTCAAATCTACCTCTTTCCGCCCTCATTGCCATTTCTCCAGACCAGTCTACCATCATCTCTTGCTTAGTTTACTGCAACAGCCTCTCAGCTTATCTCCCTGCCTTACTTCAAGGCATGTACCACACTACTCAAGCCAGGAAGTGCTTGCTGCAATTTAAATCTGATTGTAAGGCTCCCTTGATTCATTTCTCACTACTCTTGGGACAGAGACCAGGCCCCTTACATGGGTGGTCCTGCCCCATCTCTTTTCACAACCCCCTTACACTTCATTCCATTTTGAAAACGTGTCACGCTTCGTCATGCCACTAGGCCTTTACACATATTCTCCCTCTGTCTACAACATACCCTTCCTTGCTACCCTCTTTACTTGTTTTATTCCTACTCTCCCTCATGGTCTCGGCTGGGAACCTGTTTCCTGTAGGAATCCTTTCTTAGGTTCCCAAGCCTCATTAGGAGTCCATGCCTCTCCTCTTAGGGCTCATTCATGTATCTGCCTCCTCTGCTGTGCTGTACTGTAAGTCCTAGAAGACCAGAGCCATGTCCGAGGGCTTTTCACTTTCTACTGCTTTGCACAAAGAAGATGCTCAATAAATTGTTGTTAAATGGGATTCAGTATAAATACAAGTTGTAACATTATGGTTTGGTTTATTGAATGCCTCAATCTTAAATTCACCCCGTTTCATAACAAAGCCAGTGACAGAACAAATGTCTAAAGTGAATCATTTGTTATATCAGTCAACAAATGTCCATGTTACCCCTTTTCTCTTCTTCAGTGTGAGGATGATGGGGAGACAAATACTGTAAAAATGTGAAAGAATTATAAGATGAAGATGCTGAAGTTGGGAAATTTGGAGAAAGAAGAGCAGTTTGCTCCAGACCAGTTGGATGGTGCAGGCTCCAGTAGTTAAGGATGTTAGGAGGTAGTTAAGAAAGGGAAGAAAGTTCACACGGGGATAGGGTATAGAGGGTGATTGGGGTTTGTAGGTGGGAGAGAGAGGAGACATTCTAGGCATGAAGTGAAAAGGGAATACTGTGTTTTCTTCAGTGAAGAGATCTGGCTAACCATAGCAGAAATCTCACTTGGGAAGTGGAAGGAGGGTGTCCTAGTGTGTCCTTCAACCTAGGGTGTCCCTCTGAGTGTGCTTGAGAGTTATGAGCATGGGGGACAGTGGTAAAGATCTAGTGAAGATCTAGCTTCCCTTTTTTTTAGTAGACTGGAGAAATTAATTTCTATAATTCTGTGTAATGCATATCACTTTTATATATATTTGTTCCCTCAAACTCTATTTTGTAAAATTTGTCCCTTCCCCTTTGCTTTAGCATTTCAGCCTTGCCAATGGACCTTGTTGGTTTTGGTTATGCAGCCCTTGTGACATTCGGAAGTATTTTGGGATATAAGCGAAGAGGTAAGCCTAAACCAGATTTTTTTGAAAATGATTTGGTGCAGGCTTGGTGGTTGTACTAGGATTAACTGAGGGTCTGTGAGTAGGACAAGAAGCTAAAGATGTGTATTGCAGAAGGGATTTGTGGAAGGAAGAGGTTATGTAGGGCCAAGTCTAACAGCATTCCAACCTGAGAGTTATGGGTCTTCCTCCACTACAGAATTCTAATTTCACTTGTTATTATTAATTACATAATTGACTTAATCTTCTCAGGGCTACTCATTAAGTGAGGAAAATTTTTTGTTTATATAGTCATAGTGTCCAAAAACTGAATTATGTTGATGTTGTTTGTTACAAAGGAGAAATTGTTAAATACATAAATATCATATCTGAAGTTGTCTCTCCATCTCCAAAAGAAGAAAAAAAGGCCCAGTTGATAAAGGGTTTTCATGGAGAACAATGAAAGGTCAGGTTTCATATTTTACCTTGTTTTAAGGTGGAAGCATGTATAATCATGTCCAATATTTCTCTTTATTTTTATGAAATTTTAAAAATGAAGTATATTTCAAAGGATGTTATATTTGTGGCATCGGTGGACTTGAGCTTGAGTGAAAAAGCCAGGTCTACGTGATTATCAGAGTTACTTCCTTCTTTAGAGATTGCTAAGAAGTCCAAGGTCAGAAGCACAGTTCTCACCAGGAGCTGAGGGGCTGGTGGGGAAGACTAGGCTCTTCTATGATTCCTGAGAGCCTGTAATTTACCTTAGAGTTTCGCTTGTTGTTCTTATGTTCTCTCTAAATGTGTGTAACATTGAGGATACGTATATGTGGGGAAAAAAGTGGTGGCTCCAAAGTAAGACTTGTAAACAATGACTCAAAAGTAGATGTTTCATAATCTACTTTAAAGAGGACCCAGTTTAAAATCCTAATAGGCTTGTTATTGAAAACTTTTTCATTGTCAAACACGTGTCTAAATAACCTCTATTACAGAACAGGAAAGAACATCAGGACATTTTTGCCTGTCTTTTAGAAGACTGGGAAGGAAGAGTGTGTGTGTGTGTGGTGTGAGCCGCTGAGGTGGGAAGGAGAGAAGAGGAGGGGATTACTTTATTATTCTAACCCTAATCTCTTCAAAAACAAATGAAATCACATTAGGTGTAAGGTCTTTGATTTCCAGGGCTTGTTGCCCAGCTGCACAATATAGTTTCTTGGCCTCTTGCAATAACCCCCCACTAAGTGATCCTGGAAGCACCTCGGGATATTAGGTGTTCATAAAGAAGCCCACTGTTGTAGCATAATGTGGGCTAAGAGCATAGGCCACAGAATTATGCATCCTAAATTCTCTTCTTGACACTACCTTACTAGCTTTGATGCTCATGTGAGTTGTTTAACTTCTGGACCCCAATTCCTTATTTGTAAATTAATCTGTTAGCATTAAGTAAAATAATCTATTTAACTATATCCTTATGTGACTTCTACTTGATCATGACTCATGACAGGGAGCACCCAGGCATGCATTTCTTCAGTATTTATCTAGTGCTACCTGCACTGTTTCAGGCCCCAGGAAAACAGCAGTGAACAAAAAGACATGGTGCCCACAAGTGGGGGCGGGGGTTAGGGGAGACCAACATTAAATACAAGAATATAAATATAAATATGTGATGACAAACAATGGGAGCTATAATAGGGACCTTCATTCAGAATGATGGGTCAGAGAAGGCATCTCTGAGGAATTAACACTTAAGGCAACATCTGTAGATGAGCTGCAGTTGACCAGGTGAACAGTGCAAAGAAGAGCAGTTGAGGCAAGGAAGAGCATATCTGGAAGCCATGAGGAACAGAGTTTGGCATATTCAGGAAACTGTAAGAAGACCAGGGCTCCCACAATAGAACAAACTTGGGGTTTTCCTAAGTACAGTGGGAAGCACTGAAGGTTTTTAATTAGGGAAGTGGCCTGTTTAGATGTATGTTTTTAAAAGATGGTATTGCTGTGTTTGGAGAATGGATTTGGCGAGGGGTAGGACGGAGCAGTGAGGAATTTAATATTTCCAACTGTTAGTTCTAGCCTTTATATATTTGACATGGATGATATTAACCCTGTTTTGTAACTGATAAAACTCAGAGAGGCCAAGTGACTTAGCCAAAGTCCTTCAGGCAATAAGTAAAGAATTAAGATCAGAACCTAAGGGATTTGCCTTCTCATTTCAGTATGCTGCTCTGTGTGTGCATGCATGTGTGTGTCCTGCACACGTGTGCGCTTGTATTGCTACAATCTGAACTCCTATGGACATTTTAAATGCAAAGTTATCTTGATCCTACTCCTAGGGATTCTAAACACATAGTTCTAAACAGAGTGAGTTCTATAAAGTAAGGATTGTATGTCTTGTATAGTGTCACTAGTATGGAACCCACTGTACAGAAAGAGCGTGGTCTTTGTTACAGTGCCCTAGTTCAAAGTGGGGGTAGGGTTGGGGGCTGACTGGCTGTGTCAGTGCCCTGGTTCTTCCTATTTCTTAATATAGTCACCATTCATCCCTGAGTCCTGACATCTTGAAGCTGGAAGATTTGTTAATTATTTAGGATAGAATCAGCGCTCGTTTTGCACAGCACTTCTCCCTCTACCTCTATAAGCTATAAATACCTTTGCATCTTATTTTTATCATCACAACCTCACAGTAAAAAGATGGAGGCAAAGAGAATAGAAAAAAAAGAGAGAGAAGTAGCAGGGCACATCAAGAAGCCAGTGGATTGCCCAAGGTCATGTAATCAATATCAAAACTGCTACTACAAGGCGAGCTTTCTTATTCCCTCAGATAATACCTAACCCCTGCACTGCTTTGCATTTGGGGTTCCTCCACCTTGCATTTAGGGTTCAGCATGAAACAGTTATTTTTTTGGAAACTATCCATGACTAGGCCTATAATCAATTTGGCTTTATCCACTTACAGTGCCCAAGTAAAAATACATTCGAAGGTACATGTTCCTTTCATTTTGTGATTCTCTTTCTGAGCCCATACTTTTCTTTTTCCAGGTGGTGTTCCATCTTTGATTGCTGGCCTTTTTGTTGGATTTTTGGCTGGCTATGGAGCTTATCGTGTCTCCAATGACAAGCGAGATGTAAAACTGTCACTCTGTAAGTGAGGTGTTTTTCCCAGTTATGGAGAATCAAACCTTGGGGTAGTTTGTTGATGCCCTATATACTAGGTATACTAGGTATCCGAAAACATACATGGTTGGATGGGAAGTGGCCACATGCACGTGTCGAGACTAAACACACAGACCCGATCAAAAATAATGATATTGCTACCAGGCCTTCCAACTTAAAAGAATATTTCTGTAAAACTTGTTACTAGAAAAATGAGATAAAAATTAGAAAAAGCAAGAATTATACCCAGATTTTCTGCTCACTCTCCTAAATAAATGCATATTTAGCATAGTTTGTGTTGCTGGAAAAACATCTAAAAAGAGCCAGATTTGCATTATTTTATTTAATTCACAAAAAGCTTTTAGCTCCTGCTTTGTCTTAAGATTTAATCTAGAAAAGCAGGGTTGACCCTTTTTTAGTTTCTTCTCTTATTTGGCTTTGTAGGAAAATGTCCACAGGAAAAATAGAGACCTGTGTGTGTGTTTAAAGCCCCCAAGATATTTGACTTTTTTTTTTTTGTCTAGCTTGAAAGAGAAAGGCAGTGAAGGTTTGGAGATTACTCGTAGGAAATTTTCTCTATTTAATTTGATTATTATTCCAAGTATACTGGTGGTGTATTGGAAAATACAAATGAAGAGAAATTGTGTAAGTTCTATATCTGAGGGAGAGAAAAAGATTTGGTGGGTTTCTGTTTTTTTTACTTAAGAGCTAGGGATATTTTTATTAATGAAATATGTCTGAAGATAAAGATATATCAGCAAGATATAGATATATAGGGCTCTTTATTCATATACATTTAAATTTATTGTCAATCATTTGTTTTTTATGTTAGCAAATGATTTTTCTTCGAAAGCTGTTCTTAAATGATGACATCAGTGCCTTAATCTCTTACGCAAAACCTCTTCTCTCTTTATATTGTTTTAACTCATAAAAGGCCGGTATGATGCTTCTGAATTTAATATTATTTCTTAGTCTGTAGTTATTTTGTCTCTAGGCATCAATTTTCCCAAAATGGAATGCTACAAAATAAAAAGTCAAACTTCTTCTAAACAGTAAAACCGTATTATTTTATTAATCAGGTCTTACTTTTTAAAAAGATTCTTATTATTTTCCTCACATTCAGTTAATTAAACATTTATTGAGTGTCTCCTGTGGGTCCAGATATACTGCCCAGTGTTCCTGAGGAAATTTGAATAAGACACAGTCCTAGTCTTCAAGGAGTATTCTATAAATAGAAATTTATGCTCGAAAGACTTTCTTTTGAAGATATTTCAAGCATAGATTTTAACATGCTTGTCTACACAAACTTTTTTGATGAGCTAGTTTATAAAGTGTTTTAATAGAGTACTTTATCTTTTTACAAAAGTGATTGGGGATCATTTCATGAAATATATAAACGTCTAACCAATGTACCATATACTTGAAACTAATAATAAAATAAAATGCTAAAAAAAAATAGCAACTCAGTACCTACACATAATAGTTGTTATATTAGAAAGCTGAAATGATATTTGTTTTTTTCACAAACAAGTGTTGACAACATGTTTGAAACTCTGGTTCATGCATTGGTTTATGTTTTAGTTACAGCTTTCTTTCTGGCCACCATAATGGGTGTGAGGTTTAAGAGATCCAAGAAAATAATGCCAGCTGGGCTGGTTGCAGGTTTAAGGTAAGAAAAACTATTTTGATCGATATTTTTTCTGCCATCATTTTGAAGTGCCAACATTTTGGAAAAGTCAGTTTTAATTTCAAATGTCAGAGTAATTTTACAACAAGCATGACTGTAAAACCTTCAGCTATCATTCAGTCAGTGTTTAGTATTGATGTGCACATGGACATTTTTATTGACTACATTTAGTGTTGCCATGGTCACATGTGCATACTTAGCTTTTTCAGACTGAATGAAGAACTAAAGCCTCATTTTCCCTCAAGATTCACATTTCTGAGGCAGTAAATGTATTCATTTAAATCTGATACTCAGTCTCTCTTAGTTGAACAGAGTGACAGTCTGCTGCAGTTATTTTGAGTTTTTAAGGGAGAAAACAGTATTTTTTTAAAAAGGTAAATAGCCTCAAGTTTTTCTTAATTTGATTCCAGTAATGCTATCCATGAGATTAAGCATATAACCAAAAAAAATTGATAGATAATATTTTTAATTCTTCCTGGAAGCTACCTTATGTGTTAAAAGCCATAAATGTATTCATTTTCTTTGATATACATTTTCACTTTTTGGAATTTTCCAAAGAAATAATGAGATGTATACAAGTCTTTGTGTTTATTGCAACTTTCTCATGGTAAATGTGATAAATTGAAAAATTATAAACAACCTAAAAAATTCACCAGTAACAAAATGTTTCAATAAACATTTTGTCCCCTTAATGGAATATCGAACAGGCTTACACGTCATGTTTTCAAAAACTGTTTAGTGGCATTGGAAAATCTTAATAACATAAAAAGAGATTTTTTTAAAAAGGATAAATAAAACAACCATATATAGTGTGATCTCAATTAAAAATGTTTGTGTATATTAAAACAAGATAGGAAGAGAAATACCTCAAACCATTAGTGTTTATCTCTGGGTGGTAGTGTAATGAGTAATTTTCTTCTTTCTTCCTTTCTGTAGAATTTTCTAGTGTGGCTCTGTATTGTATTTATGATTTGGGAAGGAAAAATATGATTATAAAGACTGCTTTCCAGTTAGAGGCCTGCCTAAAAATGATACTTGGTGATGGAAAGAATCAGAAGTAAGGTTTACACATTAGGAAGACAAGACCCTAATCAATGGAAAGTAGCTGAGATTGTAATAATAACCCCCCAAAAATTGCTCTTTCATTATTTTTTTCATGTTGCTTTACCTCACTAGCTTTTGAAAATTTTGTGTTTCTTTTGGAACCTTTCATAAATCTTCATCCTAGATTTTAAGAACAGAGAGTTCTGATTTTTCTCCTTTATTCGGTGAACATTTTAAGTGGCTAATTCAGTCAACATTTTAAGTGACTAATTCAGTCATGTCTGGGAAGTTCAAATACAGAGATAATGTGATCACTCCTGCTCTAAGGAGTAGAAGTAAGAGAGAACCCTGGAAGCCAGAGTTTAGTCACACCACAAATGAGGGGAGCACACAGCCCTTTCTGTCTCAGGCCATGTAAGAATGACGCCCCCACCCCTTGCCTTTCTTTTACTTTAATCCAGCCTCATGATGATTCTAAGACTTGTCTTACTGCTGCTCTGAGAATCTGGAGGAACTGAAAATGAAATTCATGTCATTCTACACTAACGGGCAGAGCATAGTCTGAACTCAAAAGATAAATTTCAATATGGATTGTTAAAGTCTTACCTCTAATATGAACACTGGTGTGAGGTGTTGGTTTGATTGTTTTTTTTAACAGAAACTTTGTTTTCTAATTGTCAGGAGTTTTTTCATTAAAGATATTTAATAAATTGTGATATGCTCTTTAATTTGCTGTGTTTAGTTTTATGTATGTAGTATTTTTCAACAATTGCAAATGCTTGTCGAAGTAAGTTTAAATTATACTACAGTTTATCAGATAATGCCCTAAGTGGACTTCACAGAATGCTAATTTATCTGTCACTTGTATTATACTAGAAATTATATTTTTTCCATTTTGTATTGTTGCCAACATTATACTTTTCTTTAACAAATTCCATTCTCAGCATGCTTTGTATACTAAAAGAATGTATTCAGTATTCAAATAAAGGACATTGTTTTAAACCTGTTTCTTCCATTTTAGTGTCTTCTCTATATACTCAAATCATCTTTGACATTTAAATGTTCAATAATTAATGAAAAGATTGGAAAAGAGGGTCATTTAAGCCAGAACTCTTCTGCAGGAGCAGATATTCATTCACAATCTCTCTTTTTCTCTGAAACCGCAATAATTCTGAAACAAAAATGGTTTCATTTCAAATCACCTCTTCATTTTTAGGTATAGCGATGATTCTTAGTGTCTTTGGCACTTAACTTCTAGGCCCCAAATTAGACATCAGGAGACCCAAGCCCCAGACCCGTTCTTCTGCTCTTTGGGAATCATTTCCTTTCACTGGGACTCAGTTTCTCATCCTTAAGGAGGAATTTAGACTAAATGATCAACAAGACCCCTAAATGATCAACAAGCTCTAAACTTCTGCAATTTGAAACAAATGTGGAATTTCACAATTAAGTACCATTCAGCCTGGAAGCATTTAGAACATGTTTTCTTCACAAAAGATGTATGTGCGTGGAGCATATGTGCTTGTACTGCAAGTGTTATTTCAAGACAGATTAGCATAAAAATATTAATTTATAAAACACAATAGAGGGGATTATTCCCACTATGACAGGGCTGCTTTTGGTTTTGAAATAATTTGGTAAGTTGAAGTAGGAAGCTCTCTACATATATTTAAATGATTCTGTTAATATGTTTTGATCCACCTTTACCTTCTCAGTGAGTTACACCCAGCAAATAGTAGTCACAATTAAAGTTATTAACTGGTCCCTGTTCTTTGTATGTCATTAAATTATAATTCATTTATGTTACAAATTTTACAAATTATACCAACATAATTATCCACTAAACTCCAGAAACATAATTTACCATACACTGTGACTAGTTTTCAGGTATTTTGGTAAAGAAGCAGATGAATTTTTCTTCTGTAATTCCAGTTATGGTTTTTAATAGCTATTATAGTGTGACACTACACCTCCCCAAACACTGTATCATCTGGGCAAAATCTTATGGAAGAAAGTCAGACATTGCATTCCTGTTTTCATCTAGAATAAAATCTTGATGTCTTGATAGTAATCAAAGGAGTGTGTCATCTGCCACTCCTTTTCCATCCCCTACTCTCCCGCAAACTTCCTTTGGCTTGGGGTACACGAAGATACTGTGCACTTTCCCACTTCAAGGGTTGGAAGATGCTGGAAGATGCTAGTTCTTCAGTCTGGAAATTTCTTACCCATCTTTTGCACACCTGGTTTCTTCTCACTTTTTATGTCTCATCTTAAATGTCACCTCCCAGAGTGGCTTTCCTTCACCATCCATATAAAGCTCTTGTTGGTAAAAAGGTGCAAACTTTCAGCTATGAGGCCTGAAGACTAAAGTATAACGAACATGGTGACTATAGTTGATAATATTGTAATATATAATTGAAACTTGCTAAGAGAGTAGAACTTAAGTGTTCTCACACACAAAAAAAGCATTAAATATGTGAGGTGGCGAATATGTTAATTAACTTGACAGGCAATCCTTTCACAATGTATACATATATCAAACATCTCATTGTACACTTTAAATATCTTACAATTGTATTTGTCAATTATACCTACATAAAGCTGAGAAAAATAAAAAATAAAATAGAGCTCTCCCTTTTCTTCCCCCCTCCAATTACTCTGTATAATAGTTCCTATTTAATTTCTTCATATCCCTATCACAGTATGGAATTGTGATTTTTTAAAAAAAATTGTGTTCTGTCTCCCACTAAAGTGTAAATTCGTTGAGGTTGAAGGCCTTTCTCCATCTCATTCAGTATACAATATCTCTGTACCTAGGGCAACATTTTATGTTAGGACTGAAAAAATATTTCCTGAATCAATAAATAAATGTTATTCAAGACACCTGGCCTCTAGGCTGACCAGCCATGTGACTCTAGACAAATCCTAACCTCTATGGACCCCGTTATTCATCTAAAAGAATGAGGAAGATGAGATGTATTGAGATTAAGGTGACTGCCAAGTTTTGATGCTTGATTCTTCTTTCTTCATTTTCTCACAACGATACTGGAATGACCAGTATTTAGGGCAACCTCAGAAAAAGTATGAATAGGTCCCGAGGTAGAACGACAGGGTCAGATGGTATATTAACAGAATTTTAATCAGATTTGGTGCATCCCCATCACATGTGCAAGGCCCAGCCTTCACCTACATGCCTTACAGACAACTGCCTATGTAGGAGATGCTTCTCCACAACTACTGACTACTACTACCCTCTTCCACATCCCCGCCCCCCCCTCCCATGTTAGGGTGAGGAAACTGTAACAGAATGGAAAGAAACGTCATATCTGGAAGGACCTTTTGCAGGAATAGCCATTGTTTGCTGAGTTAATCATTGGGGGGTTGTGATAGAGAAGACATGGACAGACTGGCAGAGAGTTTTGGGGAGAACATGTCAAGCAAGAAGGAAAGGAGTATAGAGACTGTGCCATGCCATTCTTGAGGCTCCTCCACGTTGCCTTGTCAAATGCTGCAGTCTCTGCGCAATATCAGACTCTGCAACCTTTTCATAGCATTCTTCACAAGCTTGAGCTTTGGAGGAGGGAGGGCTGTCACTGATCGCTTATTTATTTTGTGAAAATTCTGACCTTTTGAAATGAAGCAAATTGGATGGGATGAGTGTGACAGCATGTTGGCAAGGAAAGGATATAAATCACTAAACTAAGAAAAGAGCACCTCAGGATTATATGAGACGAGTTTGGTGGAAGATGGAAAAGGATGTTAGGCTTGGATTTACAACAAAGATGTCAAAAAAGATAGAACTGAGAAAACACATTTGAACTAACAGGAAGTAGAACCAGACTTTAGACTACTGGAGTATTGGAAGTGACAGGAAGAGGGAAGGAAAAAGCAAAAGAGAAAACCATCCAGAGATAAAGGACTATTTTGATTTGTTTTGGAGTATTTGGAGTATTTGATTTGTTTTGGAGTATTTGGTTGTTGTTGTTTTTTTAAGGGTTGGGAATATAGGTGGCTAATGGGGCTAGGATAGGAGAGACCTAAGCCTGTTTGTAATAAGAAGGCAAATGCCACAGGAGAGAGAGGCAGGCAAGGCAGCATGGCAAGCAGAGGAATTGTCCAGAATGACTATCTAAGGAATAGATTTGTGGGGTTTTATTTGCCACCATTAGTTTAATTGCCATATTTTGGCAGTATAATTGAAATAATAAAGTGCACATAATTTAAATGTGCAATTAGATAAGTTTTGACATCCATATACCCTGTGAAAGCATCATCACGATTAATGTAGTGAACATTGCATGTTCTCATGATCTGTTGGAATCTCTCCCTCCTGCACCTCCCCAGACCACTGATCTGCTTCTTATCACTATAAATTAGTTCTAGAATTTTATATAAATAGAACCATACAGTAAGTGCTCTTTTTGTCTGGTTTCTTCCATTTGGCATAATTATTTTGAGATTCTTCTATGTTGTTAGGTGTATTTATTTTTGTTATTGCAAAATAGTTGTACTAGTTTCCTGTGGCCATTGTAACAGTTACCACAAATCGGGTGGCTTAAACAACAGAAATTTATTTTCTCCCAGTTCTGGAGGCCTGACGCCTAAAATCAAGGTTATCAGGAAAGAAATCTAACTATGGGCGGTAAACACACAATGTAACATATATATATATATATATGCCTTACTGTTAAATAATACACCAGAAACTTACTAGATTTTGTTAACCAATGTCACCAGAAAAAAGAAATGTCAATTAGGTACCTATTTGTAAAAAATTAACCATTGCCAACTTATGTAAATATTAAAATGAAGCTAAGCATTTCATTCCATTAAAACAAATTACGTTAATTAAATGTCATCCTCCAATCCCTTTTGTAACATTTTTATATATAAACATATATGTATATGTATTTACATATATATGTACATATAAAAAACATTACATAATCGAAGACAAATGTGAACTTCAAGTGCCTGAATAAAATGAAAAACGAAGATGTTTCTAACCAATAGAGATAATTTGTTAATATGGATCAGTATAGACATTTTAAAAGAAAACACATTATTAGTCCCATTTTTTGTATCTGTCACTATATTTTCACTCTTCTTATTTTCTCTGTATTTTCTGACTTTTTAATGATCAATGCGTTTGGCCATGTGGAAAATTATTTTAAATATATTTTGCATAAAGCTTAATGTAACACAATTTTAAAAATCATTTTGTTATCACTATTTTTATAATATGCATTGTGCTGAACAATGAGTTTTTCTTACAGATAGGTAAATATGAGTAAACTAGGATTATTTAAGCAATTTAAAAAAAACAAATCAAATCAAATCAAGGCATCAGCAACATCGGTTCCTTCCAGAGGCTCTGAGGGAGAATCTGCTCCATGCCTCTGTCCTGCCTTCTGATGGCAACCAGCAGTCCTTGATGTTCCTTGGCTTCTGGATG